ACAGAAAAAAACTTCAGCCCTCCTATGTTTTTTCAAAAGTGCATAAACAGCTTAGAACATTCATTAATCATTACACGGCACTGAGTGACTATTAAAATAATTCCTGCTGCTTTCACCAAGATATGTGGGAGAAAATGGCCTGGTATTTCTAGCAAAGACTTTGTTAAGCTACATGACTTGAGGAGCAAAGCTGGGTGGGGGAACAGACCCTGCTCTGTGATGAAGGTGACTGAACACTCATGGATTCCACTCAAGCATCTTGTGAGGGTGCCTTTGGCCTCACCTCTCCTTGACGCCTTGTTTTGGGAGAAGGACTGAAGAAGTTCTGCAGGAAGGAGATGTCGTTGCTGAAGAGGATGTTCTCTTTCTCCAGGATGTATTGCTTGAGCAGGGGGGACACCTCATCCCCAAACAGGGCCTGGTTGTCCTGCCAGATCTGCCGCTTCACCTCCACGGCACAGGCCTTGTACAGGTCCTTGTCAGCCATCACCAGCTTCAGCTTCTTCTCAGGGACCTGCAGTGGACACAGCAGTTACACAGGGCAGCCCCTCACCTGCCCAACTGCCCACAGGAGACACCTAAATCATGGAATCACAGAACATCCTGAGCTGGAAGGATCACCAGGACCATCCAGTCCAGCTCCTGGCCCTGCACAGACACCCCAACAATCCCACCCTGTCCCTGAGAACATTGTCCAAACCCTCCTGGAGCTCTGGCAGCCTTGGGGCTGTGCCCACTGCCCTGGGGAGCCTGGTCAGTGCCCAACCACCCTCTGGGGGAAGAACCTTTCCCTGAGATCCAACCTGACCCTGCCCTGACACAGCTCCAGCCGTTCCCTGGGTCCTGTTACTGCTCACAGGGAGCAGAGATGGAGCTGCCCCCCATGAGGAGCTGCAGACCCTGGTGAGCTCTGACCTCTGTCTCCTCTTCCCCAGCTGAACAAACCAAGTGCCCTCAGCTTCTCCTCAGACTCTTCTCCTCCAGGCCCTTCACCATCTCCGTGTCCCTCCTTTGGACACTCTCCAACAGCTTTAGATCTTTCTTGTATTGTGGTGCCCAAACTGCCCCCAGGACTTGAGGTGAGGCTGCCCCAGAGCAGAGCAGAGCAGGACAATCCCCTCCCTCGACTGATCATCCCCTCAGGCAGTTTGGGCATTCACACCCAGCAGTACCACAGGCTCAGCTCTTGCCTCCTCCTGAAGACACTTCTTCAACAGCCAAATCACAAACCAAGCTTTTCCTTATTTCTTTCAAAGAAGAAAAAAGATTTCCTTTAAATCCACAGTGCTGAGAATTGGGGATGGTGTTTCCAAACTCAGTGACTTACTGAAATTCCAGTAGCAGTTTTGAATCCGTTACCTTAAGTGCAATAGGATGCTTTCAGTAAGGACACTCCTAGAGACTTCTGTCTCACAGATCTGAATCTCACTCCTGTCTACTTCTAGCTTCATTCTTCAAGACTTATCTTCCACTTGTCAAAGATTTTTAAATCAGCTGTGGAAAATTCACTTATCAGTGAACTTGACTATTTTTAGGAAGCTGCATGGATTGAGGAAAACAGGGAAATAGCCTCATCTGATTATAAAAACATAAAATGCCTTTCGAATTAGACCACTAAGTTGGCAGCAGATACAAGAATGAATTAAATCTTCAGTCAGTGCCTAACACTGAACAACACACCTGCAAAGGTGTGCAGAGGGAGCACAGCTTGAGGAGCCACACCAGAGACGTCACAGCACAGTGCAGGTCCTACCTTGGGCAAGTGCTTCATGACACACATGACCACGGGCTGGATGGAGGGCATCTTGACCAGGGAAAAGCTCTTCTCCAGGAGATCTTCCAGCTTCTTGTATCTGAAAACACGGGACAGCACGAGACTAAGGACCATGGAGCAGTAAAGGGACAGAGTGGCTCATCTCAGAGCTACTGGAACTTGATTCCCGAGGTATCAAACTCTCCCCTGCAGAAGTCACCACAGTATTTTCTCACAGAATTCCCAAGTCGCTCCAAGTAACCAAGAATGCCGACCAACCTCTCCTCGACCTTCCCCTCCAAGGCGATGGCAGAGACCCTCTCCAGCAGCTTCTCCCGCAGCTCATCGAACACGGACTGGTGGAACTCGAGGCGGGGGGTGCCGTGCAGGTCCAGGAAGGGCAGCGCGTACTGCAGCGAGGGCAGCAGCACCCCGTTCTCTGTCTGAGAGAGCAACCGAGCGGGGCTGAGAACGGCACGCGGGACAACAAAGCAAAAGAGCGAAAAGCCCGGACGGCACTGGGGGTTCCCCCCTCCCCCCCACGCAGCCCGGCCCCTCACGGCACCTGGAACTGCTCGATGGCCTTGAGCGGCTCCGTGCAGTTCGTGAGGGTCTCCTTGAGGTCCTCGCCGTTGGCCACCCCCAGCTCCTGTAGCCCCGCGTACATCTCGGCCTGGCCGGGCCCGCGGGGCCGCTCCCGCTCCTAATTCCGATCCCGGTCCCAAACCCCGGCCCCGGTGCCGCCTCAGTTCCGCGCGGTCCGTCCCCCCCGCTCCCCCCGCGGGCCCCGCCGCCGCAGCGCGAAGGTTCCGCCGCGCGAAGGTTCCGCCGCCCCTCCCGCGGGGCCTCCCCGCGGCCCCCGCGGGCTCCGACCGGGGCCGCCGCGCCCCGGGCACCGCCGGGCAGGGCGGGCAGGGCTCAGGGAGCGTCCGGACAGCGCTCGCAGGCACACAGAAACACAGAATCACAGCCTGGGTCATGTTGAAGGGACCACAGCGGGTCATCTGGTGGCCCCTCCCTGCTCCAGCAGGGCCGTCCCAGAGTTAGATGGGATGAGCATCCCATGGCACAGCATTGTGTCCAGAGGGTTCTGGAATAACCCCAGTGAGGAGACTCCACACCCCCTCTGGTCTCTGTTCAGTGCTGGATCACTGCACAGCAAAGAAGTTCTTCCTCATGTTCGGGTGGAACTTTCTGGGCATCAGTTTGTGCTGTTGCCTCTTGTCCCATTGCTGGCCCCCCCACCAAGCAGAGCCTGGTCCATGCTCTGCCCCCTCCCTGCAGGCACTGACAGGCATGGATGAGGTTCCCTCTCAGTCTTCTCTTCCTGAGGCTGAACATCCTCAGCTCCCTCAGCCTTTCCTGCTCCCAGAGATGCTCCATCTTTTCAGTGTCTCCTCAGCCTCCACTGGACCCACTCTAGGAGTTCTCATATGATGGGATTGTTGGGGTATCCTGTGCAGGGCCAGGATGGACTCAATGGTCCTTCCAACTCAGGAGATTCCGTGATTCCATGGTTCTGTGCTCTGCCCAACAGCATTAAGAGGGCAGCAAGGCTGGGATTCCTGGGGGTGTCTGAGGCTCCCCTCTTGTCTGATCCCGGGCAGACAGTGATGGAAAGAGGAAACACCACTAAAAACAGAGAAGTGGCCTTCCCTCATTCATGGTTTGGCCTTCACAGGCCTGTACTTTCGGGATAGCTGCTAAAGAGTAGGGGGGAGGGGGGAAATCTCCCTATTTGTCCTTTGTGCAATCTGCTGCTGCATCAGCCTAAGCCACCTAGAAACCCCCCTAGAGTCTGCCCAGCAGCCAGTATAACTGTCCAGGAACAAACCAAAGTGATTTAGAGCCCCTCAGACCATTTGAAGGTTGGGCTGCTGCTCACAGACCCCCATGATCCCTGATATCCAGGTGAGAGAAGGGATCCACTCCACTGTTCCCAGCCAGGAGCTGCTGCAGTGCCCTGAGGTCCCTCACGTCCCTCTCCGTGTCCCCACACGGCTGGAGGGGCTGCTCTGCTGGTGGGGGGGTTCCTGCAGGAGCAAAGCAGGACTGGTGTGACCACAGCAGGACCTGGAATCTCCTCAGTAGCTGCTGGATATCCTGAGTGCTGATGATATATCATGGTATTGGTATAAATGCCATGACCACGTGGACACGAGCGCTCAGCCACAGTGTGAGCAGCTGCAGTTTTCTGCAGAAATTCTGTTTTCGAGGATGTTTCTTTGTGGCATCAGACAGGAGAAAGCAGGCATGTGTTTTATAAAGTCTGGGTGCTGGTTATCTTCCACAGGGAGCTGTCAGGGAGGGGGGTACAGGCACCCCAGAAGGCTCACACTACCTTCTGGGGGCAAAAGAGCTGAGCAGCCCCCGTTGTCTCCTGCACACAGCAAGGACCAAACTAGCCAGAGTTTCCTGGGGGTGGAAACCCAAAAGTGTAGATGTTTTTATGCCACCTGAAAGTGAACAAGGGGGTAGGCAGTGTGAAGGGACTGGGCAGTGTGTCCTCTGCCCCAGCCCCACGCACACGTGCCTGAGGGGAAGCACCCCAGCTCCGCCCTGGAGCCCTCAGATATAAATTAAACCCAGTGACAAGGAGTTTCCCCACTTCTAATTTGGGCAGCCAGCACTGCCAGGCGTGGAATACCAAACAGATGAGTTTTGCCTGCTTTCTGCTTGTTACCCAGCCGAGTTAACCCCACATTTGTGTTTACCTCAGCCCCGTCGCCTGGGGCAGTTTCGAGGTTGCAGCGATGCCTTTGCAAAGCTGGGGCGGGCACGGAGCCCTCCTGTTATTTATGGAGAGAAGGGATGGAAGGGAGAACTGGGGCGGGCACGGAGCCCTCCTGTTATTTATGGAGA